CAGTGCCTGAAGGGGCTCCAGGAAAGCTGGGGAGGGGCTTGGGACAAGGGCAGGGAGGGATGGGAGCAGGGGGAAGGGTTTCCAGCTGGCAGAGGGAGCTGGAGCTGAGATGGGAGGGAGAAATTCTGGGCTGTGAGGGTGGGGAGAGCCTGGCCCAGGTTGCCCAGGGAAGCTGTGGCTGCCCCATCCCTGGGGGTGTTGAAGGGCAGGTTGGATGGGGCTTGGAGCAGCCTGGGCTGCTGGGAGGTGTCCCTGCCCATGGCAGAGGTGGGACTGGATGGGCTGGGAGGTAGTTGAGAAACTGGGATATATTTAACTTTTTTAAATGATTTGCTAACGCCTAAAATGAATAATTCTCATTCTGTGAAAATGCTGTTTCAAAGGCATTGTAGGAGTTTCTATAGTGGATTTGAAACTGCTTGTTAATGAGCTTTTCATAGTTAATCTGAGAGGATTCCATAAAAAGGCTGTGGAATGTTTCTCCACACTCTGCAGGCCCAAGGGCTGCCAGGAGCAGTGGTGGGAGGGAGACGAGGCTCTACCAGCAGGAGTTGTGAAGGAAAACACATGGAAAAGCTGCTTTACACATTGGTTTCATAGTGACTTAGAACTAAGCTACATGCAAACTGGACTTTCCCTCCTGATATTTCAGTTTTCCTTTCTGAGTTCCTGCATTTGGCACCATGTCCCTGCCTTGGCTGGGGTGGTGCTGTTGGGTGTTTGGCACCAAACCCTGTCTGATGAGAGGAGCTGTAAATCAGCAGTCTCTTGAATTCCTTTTGATTTTGCTCACACTAAACTCCAGGCAAGTGAGTTGGGTTTTTTGGCAGTGTTCTTTCATAAAGTGAAAGTGGGTTTTTTATTTTTTTCTGCCTTGTTGGTTCTAATGGCTGTTGGGAAGGTTTGGCTGGTGTGGGACTGCTTTGAAGCTGGGAGTCATCAAGTAGCTGAGCAGGGATTATCAGCCTCTCCTTGGTTTAACAACCTCACCTATTGCATAACAAAGAGGATGCTGGTTGTTTCAAGGATGTGTGGTGACAAGACAGGTCATGGTGACACATGATGGCACCACATGGTGGCATGAAGTGCTGAGTTGGTCAGGGAGGGGGTAAGGTGCAGGTGGGTGTTGGTGGGGCTGGGCCCTTGGAGGCTTCTCCAAGCCCTGCTGGGGCTTTCCTGCTTGGTGCAGTGGCTGCAGATGAGGCTGCAGAGCAGCACAGGAATTTGTCAGCCTGGATCTATTTCTGTCCTGTCTCAGGTAATGACACATAGCACATGTAAAAAGCTTTTACAAGAGTTTGTAGTAAGAGAACAAGGGGTAATGGATTAAAACTGGAGGAGGGGAGATTTAGGTTATACATGAGATATATTATTGGCTGTGAGGGTGGGGAGCCCCTGGCCCAGGTTGCCCAGAGAAGCTGTGGCTGCCCCATCCCTGGCAGTGTTGAAGGGCAGGTTGGATGGGGCTTGGAGCAGCCTGGAATGGTGGGAGGTGTCCCTGCCCATGGCAAGGAGTGGGACTGGATGGGCTTTAAAAAGGTCCCTTCCAACCCAAGCCGTTCCATGGTTCTGTGAAACACAAAGCTAACTTAACAAGAGAACTTCTCTCAACCCCCACCATGAACCCCTCTTCCCCAGAGCAGCTACTCGAGGACAACACCTGAGCTGTTGGCTTGTTCTGTCCATCATGAGGGTTTGTGGTTGTTCTTTCCCAGTGTTCCCATCTGTATCTCTGAGCTGTCCAAGCTCTGTTAGATGTTTAAATCAGAGATCTGTAGAATTACAGATCTGTAGAATTGCAGATCTCTAGTGCTGAGGGACATGTGTTAGTGGTGACCTTGGCAGTGCTGGGTTAACAGCTGGACTTGATCTGAAAGGTCTTTTCCAACCAAAACAATTCTATGAGTGTATGATCCTGATTGCATAGACTTCTTAGCTTTCATGACACAGCGGTGGTTTCACACTGAACTGTCTGGGGTGCTGGAGGTCTGAAGGAGAGCAGCAGGTCTGGCACATCTACACACATCTGATTTTCAAAGAGCCACAGAGGTAGTGGCAGAGTAAGGAAGGTCGTCAGCTTCAATTTAACCTAATTCCCCACGTGGAGAAGCTGTGTTGTGCTGTTGGGTGACAGTGCACTGACCCTGATTTAGGTGTTTCTGTGAAGTGATGTGGTTCTCCCAAAGGTGACATAAGTAAGCCTTGGGCTGGTTCTACTTTTCTGAAGTTGCTCACACTTGATGATATCATGGAGGGATCTCAGGATGCTGCTGTCTCCACACAGAAGCCTTTTAAAAAGCCTCTGCTGATAACTGCCCATTCACCCTGCTGCTGTGTCTGTGCAGTGGGAATCCTGCCTTACTCTCGTTGGGGCAGATCTGAAAATTCATCAGTTAGATGACCTTTCCCCATACTCCCTGTGTCTAGATCTCCTGGGCTTACTCGGGCTGGTGTGAATCCCTCAGGACTGCTTCTTGGGCAGGGTTTAAGCCCAGGCAGAGCAGCTGGGGCTGAAGTTTTGCTGCATGCCTGGTGGAACCCTGGCGTGGAGCTTGGTTTGTCTTGACCACAGCACAACACGCACACGTGTCAGGGTGGTGCAGATGTTTTGGATGAAAGAAAGTAGCTTCTAATAGTAATTACACTCTGCCAAACTTTGTCATTATTCAGAGCTTTTCCTCTCACCCTTTAAAGTAGCAAATACTCACAAATACAAATGAAATTCCAAAACAGAGTTTGACTTTTTAGGAGGGGATATGTAGAATCAAGAGTGTAGCTTTTTCTCAAGCTCTGGCTCCAAGTATTCTTGCTGTATTCTGAGTCCATCTGAGGTGTGTAGTGGTTTCTCTGGAAGCAGTTCAGCCTGTATTCAGAGCAGCACTGTAATTGTTGGGCCTCAGGCTGGGATTTGAAATCTGTGCTGCACTGTTTTGTGTTCATCATTTGTGATGTTTTAAAGACTTTGTAGGATAAATGCTGGGGAAAAGGGAGGCATCAGATTTACAGATCTCAGATACAAAAAAAGAGTGTACAGTGTCATTCTGAATGGATGGCTTCAGTCTTATGGAGTCATGGAATGGTTTGGGTTGGAGGGACCTCAAAGCCCACCCAGTCCCACCCCTTGCATGGGCAGGGACACCTCCCAGCAGCCCAGGCTGCTCCAAGCCCCATCCAACCTGCCCTTCAACACTGCCACTGATGGGGCAGCCACAGCTTCTCTGGGCAGCCTGGGCCAGGCTCTCACCATCCCCACACTAAATAATTTCTTCCTAAACAAAGCAGTCTTGGGTGAATATTGTGACAGAGCCCTGGGACAGGCTGCCTGGAGAGGCTGTGGAATCTTCTCCTCTGGAGACTTTCAAACCCACCTGGACATGTTCCTGTGTGATGTGCTCTGGGTGAGCCTGCTCTGGCAGGGGGGTTGGACTGGATGATCTCCAGAGGTCCCTTCCAACCCTGAGCACTGTGGTTCTATGGTCCTGCTCCCCCTCTGTGAATCACCTTTGAAACTGCCGTGAACTTTGGTCGGGAGGTGGGTGCTCCTCTGGCTCCATGAGGTGACAGGGCCCCAGACCCCACATGAAATATGTGGATTGTTGCTGCAATTATTCTTGGAACCAGTGAAAATGACCCTTAGGTTTCCTGGACAACCTCTAACTTTCTTTTGAAGTGTTGTTGGGAAAACAGACGTTCTTGACTGAGGTACAAATCTCACAGCTGAATCTGAGGCTGTGAAAGGAAAAGGGGCTGAACCCCTACCATGTCCCAGCTGGGTGGGAAGGTTCAGGTTTGCCCAGTGCTCCAGAAGAGGGGATGGCTGCAAGGGGAACATCTGCTGTGGAGCTGATGGCTTTGCAAAGACTGTTGGTCTTGCTCAAATTTTGCCTTGGGCTGAAAGGTTATGTGGACGTTTGTTTAGGGAAAAAAAAAAATCTTTGGCCCTCAGTTACCTTGGTTAATAGTAACTTTAAAAAATATTTTCCAGGATAAGAAGCTAGAGAAAGAATTCACACTGGATGAAAATAATTTTCTGAAGCTGGGTATATTCCAGGAACTGTAACCCAAATGTTTCTCTGTCCGTGGAGGCGATTTCACATTTGAAGTAACTTCTACTGAAGGTAAGCACATCTCCCTTCCCTTGTAAGCTGGGTCATGACAACGGGCTTTCTCATGCTGTGTTGTGTGTTCTGCTGGTGGCTAGTGAGGCTGTTTTCATGTTTAGTACCTGGAGGCATTTGAGGGGGAACTGTAGTGGCACCAGGATGGTCCTGCTGATGAGATTGAGAGCTGGTTACATCCAGCTGAGAAGCCCAGTTCCTCTGCAGCTGGTGAGCCTGCAGCCCAGGCATGATATCCTGGTCAGGTTATTCCCTAAAACCAGGTTTAACTGGTAAGTGCTTCTTAAAACTTGACCTCTAATTTAATGCACATAATTGATAAGATGGAACTTGATTTTTTTCTATTATTTCTGTTTACTGTGCTCTGAGAAATGCTTGTGGCTGTTCCGAGGAGTAACAACAGGGAAATGACACCCAGTGCAGTTTCTCCCTGGGGTCGTGAAAGTGAATAGGCCATGAAGACAGGCTGGGAGAGTTGGGGTGTTGAGCCTGGAGAAGAGAAGGCTCCAGGGAGACCTGAGAGCAGCTCCCAGGGCCTGAAGGGGCTCCAGGAAAGCTGGGGAGGGGCTTGGGACAAGGGCAGGGAGGGATGGGAGCAGGGGGAAGGGTTTCCAGCTGGCAGAGGGAGCTGGAGCTGAGATGGGAGGGAGCAATTCTGGGCTGTGAGGGTGGGGAGAGCCTGGCCCAGGTTGCCCAGAGAAGCTGTGGCTGCCCCATCCCTGGCAGTGTTGAAGGGCAGGTTGGATGGGGCTTGGAGCAGCCTGGGCTGCTGGGAGGTGTCCCTGCCCATACAGGGGTGGGACTGGATGGGTTTAAGTTCCCTTCCCACCCAAACCCCTCTATGATTTTTTTAAGGTGAAAAATTGAAAGCATCCCACAGAGTTATCAACAGGCAGTTTAAATCAAACAAGAGGAACTTCACCTTCATGCAGGATGTATCTACCCTGGGGATTCACTGCTGTAGGAGTATTTGAAGGTGGAAGGGCTGCCTGTGGGAGCAGTGACCCTGCCCAGGGGCAGCAGTGGAACTGGCTGCCTCAGTCACTTTCCTGTTGGTAACTCAGTTAAGAAAAGCTTCGTTAATGCTAGAAAGATAAGAGATTTTTACATGAAGCAAGATTTCCCAGAGGGAACAGGTTATGGAATTAAGGGCATTCTTAAAACTCCTCAAAGGAGGACACCCTCAGTTTTGTTGCAGGGAAGTGCAGGATTTAGCTGAGCTGTAAGTAAAGGTGCTGCTGCTTGTGGAGCTGGTTCCATCTATGTTGCACGTCAGACCTGATGGCTGGAAACTGGTGCAAATGGAGAGTAGATTGAGAGTAGAGATAAGAAAGAAATGGTTCATGCTGATGGTGCTGAGACACTGGCCCAGGTTCCCCAGAGAGGTGGGAGATGCCCCATCCCTGGAAACATTCCATGTCAGGTTGGACAGGGCTCTGAGCAATCTGTTGTAATTGAAGTTGTCCCTCCTCACGGCAGGGCGGGTTGGGCTAGATGGCCTTTAAAGGTCCCTTCCTACCCAAACCACCCTGTGATTCTATGAAAAGTGATTCTGTGACTTGTGGAGTCCCTCAGGGGTGGGTACTGGGACACGTACTATTCAGTATTTTCATCAACGACCTGGATGAGGGAGCAGAGTGTGCCCTCAGCAAGTTTGCTGGTGACACTAAGCTGGGAGGAGTGGCTGACACACCAGAAGGCTGTGCTGCCATTCAGAGAGACCTGGACAGGCTGGAGAGTTGGGCGGGGAGAAACCTGATGAAGTTCAGCAAGGGCAAGTGTAGAGTCTTGCATCTGGGGAAGAACAACCCCAGGTACCAGTACAGGTTGGGGGCTGACCTGCTGGAGAGCAGGGTAGGAGAAAGGGACCTGGGGGTCCTGGTGGACGGGAAGATGAGCATGAGCCAGCAATGTGCCCTTGTGGCCAAGAAGGCCAATGGCATCCTGGGGTGCATTAGAAAGGGGGTGGTTAGTAGGTCAAGAGAGGTTCTCCTCCCCCTCTATTCTGCATTGGTGAGGCCACAACTGGAATATTGTGTCCAGTTCTGGGCCCTTCAGTTCCAGAAGGACGGGGAACTGCTTCAAAGAGTCCAGGGCAGAGCCACAAAGATGATGAAGGGAGGGGAACATCTCCCTGCTGAGGAAAGGCTGAGGGAGCTGGGTCTGTTGGGCTTGGAGGAGACTGAGGGGCGACCTCATCAGTGTTTACAAATATGTAGAGGGTGAATGTCAGGAGGACAGAGCCAAGTTTTTTTCAGTGATGTCCAGTGATAGGACAAGGGGCAATGGGAGCAAACTGGAACATAGGAGGTTCCATGTAAACATCAGAAAAAACTTCTTTCCTGTGGGAGGGACAGAGCCCTGGGCCAGGCTGCCCAGAGAGCCTCTGGAGTCTCCTTCTCTGGAGACTTTCAAACCCATCTGAGGCATGTTCCTGTGTGATGTGCTCTGGGTGATCCTGCTCTAGCAGGATGATCTTTAGAGGTCCCTTCCAACCCCTAAGGTTCTGTGATTTTGTGTTGCTGTGAAAATGGTTCTGGAAGCCACTGAGAACTAGAATGTGTGGATGGTACCCAGACAGTCATAGTCGTTTATGCCAGTGAGATAGAAACAAACAAAAAAAATAGTCACAAGTAATAATGTCACTCAGTCTGGCAAGTGACCTCAAGTCATCCTTGATGTCCAGCTCCTCAGGAACCTCCAATACCTGCTTCTGCTAAAGAGATACCTGGGGGAAGTTAGAGCAGTGTAGATGTGGGATGGGCACTCCCAGTACTGACAGTCACCCGGGCTGGTGACTGTCCTGGAACACCAGTGGCTGTAAAACATCTCAGGGTCAACACCAGCTGAGTGGTTGAGCTCAGCTGAGCTTCTGGACTCCGTAGCCATCTGTGATGGCTAAGCTCCACAGGTTTTCTTCTTTCCATGCAGAACTCAATTAGTGTTTCATTCTGGTTTTGGTAACTTTGTGAAATGTCCCTGTTTCTGGGTTTATGGGAAGCTGTAAATGTCTGTTCACCTTCATACTATTTGTGCCTTTATTTGTTGTTTTTCTGAGCTGTAGCCATGTATCAAGTCAAGTTTCATCCTTAGAAGCTGTGCTGTTTCTCTGTGGAGCAGCTGAGCAGACCAGCTGCACTTGTTTGAGCTCTGCTGTCTCCTGGGCGAAGCTGGGCAGACCAGGAGCAGACACACCAGAGTCACACAGTGTCATGTCTTCTGGTTACTTGCTTATTCTGTCTTGCAATAACTTTTGTCATTACTTCTACCTCTTTGGCTGCTGCTCTATATTGAGGTCCTTGAACAGTGGCTCCAAGATCATTTCCAAGTGGTTGCAACAAACAGGATCTGCTCTGTTTGGGTGTTAAACTGTCCCTTGCTGTGCATCACAGAGGAGGGCTGCTTGTTTGCTGGGTCCTGGCTGGGGCACTCAGCTCAGACAAAGCCCTCCAGAAGGAGGGGAGATGGCTCCTTCCTGGAATCATCTGAGCATACCTGGGGGAAGAAGTTCCCAGAACGTGGGATGGGGCAGGAAGAAGAGTGTGAGTGTGTGAAAGTTCAGCAGGAAAGAAACTTGTGGTGCAGGAGAGCCTGGGGTACATCTCAGATGAACAAGGGGCAGATGGACATCCTGGCTTCAGGACTGGTGGAGAGTGAGAGACCTCTTGAGGATCCAGAGGACACTGTGGATATTGACTGGTCCCAGGAAGCTCCTGGGACCAGCTGAATCAAGCCCAGAGGCAAGGATTTGCCAGTCAGGACACAGCAGAGGGGGGCAAATTGCTCATCCCCTGCTTGTCCTCTTTCCAAAAAGAGAAATTCACCTGAAGTGATGCAGTTGCTGCTCAGGTACCTGTTGGTGCTGTTTATAAACCCTGTAAGTGTTGATTTTCCTTGCGTGCCCATGATAAAGATTTGGGCACTTCTGTCTGGAAGTGCTGGATGGGGCCCTGGTCTCAGCAAGGTTGAACTACCTGAGTGGGCCTTGTTCTGTGGTGGGTTTTCTCCCAGAAATAGTGCTGTGCTTTGTCAGCACTGAGTTACAGCTGCAGCTTCATTGTCTGGCTGCTTAGTAACATCTAATCATTCTGCAGCTGTTTCTGACAGCTTGGGTAGGTTTCAGCTAACTAGTTTTTCTATCACTAGTAGGTGTTGCTGCCCTGCTATTTATGTTTCTTTTGAGATGACTGATGAACACATTGAGCAGCACTGGTTCTTTTGGGACTCTACTTGCTGCCCTTTTCAGTTTCTTATTAAATTGGATTTGATATGTTTTCTGTGTCTTAACCAGCTGCTGATGCACAAAAGAGAATGATTTTCCTTTAAAGGTGTTAGGAGAAGCCCAAGCACTTCTGTCCACCTGCCAGTTTTCAGTGGGGATTTTTTAAGTTGTGTAACAGTTTGCTTAATAAGCTGGTTTTAGGCTTGAAGTTCACCAAGCTAAATAGAGTGATACTTTGCTCCATAGCTGGATCTCAGGGTGTAGAGCTCTGGGGTGAATGCCATCTAGTCTTGGTGATCTTTACCATCTGACTTGCAGGTGTGTCTAAAACTTACTCAGATACTGCAATTTGAGAGAATTATCTAGATTTTTTGTTGTTTTGTTTGTGTTTTTTTTCTCTCTGTGTAGCAAAGCTTAAAACTCTTTATGCTTAGGGAGGAAATAAAGGAGGCTTTGTATTAAAAACTTGTAAAAAAACCAACCACCAAACCCTAAAATATCCTTAAAATTCACCTCAGGAATCCATGCCTGTCAAGACTAAAGAGACAGACTGAACTAAATGGGGCCTAGGAACACTGTCCAGCTCTGACATAACTGCAGAAGTTATGTTTGTCCTTTGTATTTTTGTAACAGAAAGGATGTTACAGGAAAGTCAGAAGTATTCAAAAATACTTGCTTTTTGGAAACAAGTAGAATAATGTACTTGTCTCAGCACGTCCATGTGTTTCCACTTAGTAACTAAGTGGAAAATGTTAAACGTTTTATTTTATCAGGAATG